CATCGATAGAAAATGATTTATGTGTATATTTGAAACTCCTCTTACTTTTATATGCCGATGACACTGTCATTTTAGCAGAAACTCCTAATGATCTACAAAATGCTTTGAATGAATTTGAAAGCTACTGCTCAGAGTGGAAATTACAAGTAAATATTGAGAAAACCAAAATATTAATTTTTTCAAAAGGTCCTTTGAACAAAAGAGTATTTTATTATAATAACAAAAGTCTAGAAACTGTCAAAGAATTTAAATATCTTGGTATCATCTTTTCAAGATCTGGCTCCTTTTTAAAAGCCAAGAAGCATCTCTGTGACCAAGCCCAAAAAGCAATGTACGGTGTTATCAGAAAAATAAGACAATTTAACCTCCCTGTAGTATGTCAACTTGATTTATTTGATAAAATGGTTTTACCAGTGCTACTTTATGGTTGTGAAATCTGGGGTTTTGAAAACCTAGATATTATTGAACGTGTACATTTAAAATTTCTGAAACATATTCTGTATTTAAAAAGTAGTACCCCGAATTATATGGTTTATGGTGAAACAGGACGTTTCCCACTATCTGTAATTATATATTTTTCATACTGGTGTAAGTTACTGAATAGCACAGATAAGAAAATTTCATGTATATTGTATCAATATTTAATTGCTAATTCACAATATGAAGTTGGTAAAAACCCTTGGATTGACTGTGTTCATCGCATTTTTGATTCATGTGGACTATCTCATATTTGGAATGAACAGTTTTATTATCATCTTAATCAAGACTGGGTTACTGCTGTTGTTAAACAAAGATTGCAAGATCAATTTATACAAAAATGGTATTCTGATATTAATAGTTCTTCTAAAGGTATTTTGTATAAGACTTTTAAAACAAATTTTGAGTATGAAAATTATTTAAGTATTTTACCACTAAAATTCAGAAAAATACTTGTCAAATTCCGTACTACTAATCACCGTCTACCAGTTGAGCTAAGATGGACTGGTATACCATTAAATGAAAGATTATGTACACTCTGTGATGCAAAACATGTTGATGAATTTCATGAATGTAATGCACTGTCAAAAATCAGGAAAAAGTATATTAATGAGTACTACTTTACTAGACCTAATATTTTGAAATTTTCTCAACTGATGACAAAACAAGATGCTATGTCGCTTAAAAAACTTTGTATGTTTATATCAAAAATATACGATTTAGTCTGTCCTCCATAATTTGTTCCCCTTATTTATGTCATTATTACATGTTTTATTTATTATATTTTTTTCTTCATTTTCTTTTTCCATTTTTCTCCCTTCTCATTTTCCGATTGTGTATATCATATACTTATACCTCTGACCTGATTATATATATATACATGTTGTAAATATTTATCTTTGTCCTCATGTACCATGTATTTAATATGGTGTTGAGCGAATAAATGAACTTGAACTTGAACTTGAACTCCATATTTAATATCACCAATTATAGCTTTGTTGATCTTGAAAAGAAGATTTTTAAAATATTTTTCCTACATATTCCTATGTCAAACTTTGATCAGCCATTATGGCCCCACCCTATCCTCGGGGGTCATGATTTGAACAAACTTGAATCTACACTACCTGAGGATGCTTTCACATTAGTTTCATATTTGCTGGCCCAATGGTTTTGGAGAAGAAGATTTTTAAAGATTTTTCCTATATATTCCTTTGCAAATATTCATCACCCATTGTGGCCCTGCCCTACCACTGGGGGTCATGATTTGAACAAACTTGAGTCTACAATATTTCCTGGTCAATTGATTCTGAAGCAGATGATTTAAAAAAACCTATATATTCCTATGTAAAAACTTTGATCAGCCATTGTTGCCCCGCCCTACCCCAGGGGGTCATGATTTGAACAAACTTGAATCTACACTACCTGAGGATGCTTCCACATGAGTTTCATCTTTCCTGGCCCAGTGGCTCTGGAGAAGAAGATTTTTAAAAAATGCCATTAATTTTTCATTAATATGTAATTATCTCCCCTTGGAAGAGGGCTTCGCCCTTCATTTGAACAAACTTGAATCCCCTTCACCCAAGGATAACTTTGTGGCAAGTTTGGTTGAAATTGGCCCAGTGGTTCTTGAGAAGATGAAAATGTGAAAAGTTTATGACGACAACGACAACAACGACGACGACAGACAACGGACAAATTTTGATCAGAAAAGCTCACTTGAGCCTTCAGCTCAGGTGAGCTAAAAAAGTTTTTAATTAACTACGCACTGCAGAAAACTCATGTATAGGGAGATTGTTGAGAATTGCTGGTTGAAAAGAATTACTGGTAGTGAAAAACCATAACCATAAACAATTTATATACATGCATGTACAGTGTACAAATTTAATATTGTTTAAAAACAGAGAAAAATAATTACATATATCTGAAACGATTCATCATTACACAAATTAACTAGATTGAGTACCTTGAGTACCTATGAGTACCTTTCAAACTCCAATGCAAATCTTTTACTGTATCAATGGGCACGCGCAATTGAGCAACTACAATTAATACATGTAAGCTTATAAATCTGTAAGGAATAATAATTAGTCACAATACTTACTACATGTATTTACCATAACCAATAACTATTGCAAATTGTTTTTGGAATAAAACTTAAACCTTCATCCACATGTAAAACATAATTTAATATATATGCAGTGTCAAGTGTATATGCTACAGAACTTGTTCAAACAAAAAAAAAAATGGGCCCATGGGTCACAATGCTCACCATGTTGCCTTGTCCTGCTGCTTTTCGGTGGATTTTACACCCCCTCCCCCTTTCTTTATTCTCCTGCAAAACATTGACATAATTTTTGTAACTCAAACCTAGCCCCAAAGTGTTATATTTTAACCGGGTTTTATACATCCATAAGACATGGAAATGCTTCAATAATAATATACCCAACGTGGTCCAGCTGTTCTTGAGAGAATGACTGTTTGGTAGATTCTGTTTTCTATATATTACCGTTACATATATTAAATTATGTGAAATATATGATCCCAATAATAATTTAAAAATATATGACTTGCTGCTAAATGATTAAGGCCCTGACATCAGCAAAGTTTTCTTCCTATTATTCCAATGTATACATTCTTATAGGGCCATGACTTTGAATTAAATCTGCATGATCTGAGACAACTTGCATATTGATATGACTAATCATGGCCCTACTTTTCTGGAGAAAAAGATCTGTAATTTTTTTCTTATAAATAATAGCAACATAAATTTTTGACCCCCCCTTCCTCCTTTTGGCTCTCCTGAACATGACTGGCCGGACAACAGACAAATTTTGATCAGAAAAGCTCCCTTACATATATGCATGAGCTTTGGCGCTTTGTTTTTTCTTAGAAATACAAATAAAGAGATTGATGTCCCCTTAATTCTTTTTTGAAATTATTTGTAAGTACTTATGTTTTGACTGGGGGCTTATGGCAAGTAATATGAAACTTTCTAGACCATCTCTTTTGTTTATAAAGAAAGTTTTCATATCAATGATTTTCTTGGGAATGAATATGGGACTTTGACTGTATAAATCAACAGTATTATAGTAATAAAGACTGTACCGTAAACTATCCCTTAGCACTCATGGTTTGTGTGACGTCTTAGTATGTCATTCTTAATTAAAAGCAGCTGCCCTTTGTCATGGTTGAAACAAATAAAACAACAAATATATACCAATTAAAAAAATACACAAATATTAAAAACAGTCCCTGCAGAGCTTGTATTCTGTATATGGTAAATAAACTAAGATTTGAAATTACACAGCAATGCATGATCAAAGCATAAAAAACAAGACAGTGCTCCACTCACACTAAAGGAGGAAAAATGGGAATACTGCCATGACCAGAGTCAATGAAGCATAAAAGTAGGTCAGATGCTGCTGTTCATACATATATAGTGTTGTCTGACTATAAATAAAATATTTCCTCAAATTTCTGTTAAGTTTTCGGGATTTAAGTAAAAATTGTGAAATTTCTAAATACATGCAATAACTTAAGAATAATCTATTCTAACCACATCCCAATTATAAGCTAGAAGTAAATAATTAACTAAAACAATCCACCAAAGCATTAGATAAATATAGGTCATATGCATTGTCAGAAGCACAGTTCCAAATAAGTTTTGAACACTGTTAATAATAGTTGAGCCTTTGTTTTGCAGAAATATTGACACAGCCACAACACCCATATGATAAACAGTGATGTACACTTATGTACATGTAGCGCTCTATGGAAACAGTCATACTTTCTTAATGAATGTTGTGTGAAGAAAAAAAATATACAAACAAGTTTTAGGTAAAAATTTTAAATTAACTGGTACTTTTATCTCTATTAAGATTTTTGAGATTTGCATATAAAAGGAAAACATGTACTGTAAAGTAAACTAAAGTACTTATTTTTTTCCATGTGGTATAAATTTACACTGCAATATATTAATTTTTGTACAAATTTGTCCCAGCATTTTTATTGTCACAGTGGTAATCTATGAAATCTGAACTATTTCTACCCAAACATTAAACAATAATTGTGATCTTGTGGAAGTATGATCCCATGGAAAAAGTGTTTACAGTATAAATTCAGATTGTTTAGAAGCAATGCTGCAAGAATTTGAAATTTAAAGTAGGAAATAGACATTTCTGTTGATTGTCCATTTTTTTCGGCACTTTGATGATTTCTTAATTAGCAATGCTTATACATGTACATGTATATTGTGATATATTTAGTACCAGATAATTATTTGAAAACATAAATTATGAAAAGTTACCATAATTTTTAGACCATCTTGCTAAAAAAACACTGTATCAATATTTTATTTACATTCTTTTTTGAAAAAGAACTTTTACCAGTAATAAGTCAGACAAGAAAGTAAATTTATAGGAAATAAGGACTATAATTTTAGACAAATTGAAAACAGACAACCATTAATTAAAAATAGATTTTAAAAAATTATAGTCAGACATAAAGAATTTCTCATAAAATAAAAAACAACTAGTACATCAAAATTTCTATGGGCAAGGGACAATTCATTTCGTTGTTTATCGCAAGCACTACTAGCATTGATTTCATTTCTAAACCTTTTAAAAATGTATGTGAGACTGTAAAAAATATATGCTTTTATAAATATAACAATTTTTGTCAACATATAAACAAATATCATAAATATTAACAGATATTATGATATATATATATTCTGGTGTATATAAACAAATATGACTTATATAATAACAAATATGATATATAATTATAAACACATATCGGTAGTTACATGCATTATATAAGGAAATCAATGATAAATAAAGCCATCTCCCTGGATTTCATTAAAAATATCTAATTATTTTTGACATAGAAAAAAAAAATCTCAGACATGAACATGAAATAAAAACAAGTTAGAGTCTAATATGGGACAAAATCTCAGTTCTGCAGTTACATTTCTTCTCCTGACACACAGGCTATATGTAAATTTTTTTTTAAAGTATGTATTTGTAAATCTTTATTTATCATGTTTATTAAAGTGATATATGGCGTATTTTTGATAAGTTCAGACTAACTAAAATTAAAAAGATCATTCTATTTGTTTTGTTACTTTATGTAAAGACAGGACTTTCCTGTAAATTACACAATTTAAATCAATCGCCTTTCAGAGATATCCAAGATTATAGTTAAAACAATAACCGATTTATTTCCGATTCGAATTAAAATATCAGATACGGTTTAAAGTAAATTTAACCTATAGAAATGTGGGGATTTTTAGGATCAAAATCGGCAAAAAATTTAATCTGAACATATAGATAGCGAATGTCATCTTAATCTACACTTTATCTTGTATTTTTTTGGTCAGATATGCCACATATAGCTTTAAAGTTTGATACGATACTCATTTTTTCACTCATGTGGTACTTATGAAAGACTATAAACATTCGGCAAGACTACTTTGTTGACTTGCCTAGAGACTTAAATGACCCCAAAATTCAAATATAACCACCTTTTCTACACTATTTCAACACTAACCTTCAAAAGAAAATAGGACAAAGCTCTAAATCTGAACATAATTCATCAGAATTCCCTTTACCAATAAATGCTTAATTGTGTTGTTATTTTATAATAATTATTTAAACTTGTTGGAAAAGAGGATGAAAATGTGAGAAGTTTACACAGTATGCTAAATGTCATATTCTAAATGACAGATGGACACTAACACTTTACTCAGACCTGAGCCTTTAGGTAAGCTAAAAAAGCATATTTCTAACACACCCATAAGCCAATACAATTAATGACATCAATGGAATACAAAATTCAACTTATTGCTTCTACCTGTTCCAAAAATAAGTACTCCCTTTACCCAGTAAGTAAAAAAAATCAGCTAACAGCAAACTGAGTTTCTTTTCCCATGGATAGTAGGTCAGGCTGTTTTAAAACACATTATTAGTTTACTTTCTTCATGTCACTTGTGCACTTGTCAGAGAAGTAGAAAATTTCTCTATCATGAGCTTCTCCAAGTCATGTAACATTGTGCTTTGTTCTTGTACTTCTCTCTGAAACAAAAGACACAATTATATATATATATATATATATATATATATATATATATATATATATATAAGGGGTGTTTCAGGAAAAGTTTGATAATATCAGTAAAGTGGAAACTTTGAGATTTACTTGTATTGAACAGGTGCAGTTCTTTAATATAATGTAATTAATGTATAATGTAAATTTACAAGTAGGAATATTAAGGACTCTTAAAAATTCTTCAATTTTGTAAAAATGTTTCCATAGTGACAGTTTCCACTTTCACAGTGTTTCATTGATTTTTTTTTCTATAAGACCATTTCCCCATATGACCAACTGTAGAGAAATAGAACTAAAAATTTATAAATGTTGACCCTGTTTAATTCAAGGAGTAGAGAGACACATTATTTTTTTAACAAACATACAATTCCTCTACAGCTGACAATCTGCTTGGGAAAAATAAACATGGCTTACTTGGAGGAGGTTTAACTTTTCTCTGAGTTTGGGGTAAGGCATATAGTCATGCAGGTTTTTCTTCATGGTGTTTAGTTCTTGACTCTGGGAATGTAGACTTTTCGCAAGAGCAGTATGCTTATGCTGAAGTTGTTGATAAAAACGGAACTCTATGTTGCTCTCATTTGAGTGTTGAACAGGCTACAGTGCAAAAGAAAACCAAGTCTAAATTCATACATATACATAATATATCTATCACTTTCAGTCTATTGAAGAATTTTATTCTACACATTGCCAGATCTTTCCATCATTTAAACATGTCAAACACAATAATATGTTGAATGTTATTAATTATATAGTGTATCTTTTTATAACCGGTTACTTTAATCTTCCGAGTATTATTGAATAGTTTCCGTGTTTATTATACACAAATTGCAAACAGAATCTTTCCATCAACACATTTAAACATGTCAAACACAATAATATGTTGAATGTTATTATAACTGCAAGAGCAAATTAAAGAAAAGAAAGCAGAAATTATATCTCTGTAACACAGGTCTAAATTAGTAATTATGTTTAAAACTTTTTCAATCAATTAAACTAATCAAAACAAATTAATCCTATTTGTGAACCACTAGAGCAAGCCTAAGTAATTAAATTAGGGAAATGTGTCAATATATACATTTACAAATAACTTCAAAATTATTTAATTCGTATTTACTATGAAAAATGTGTTTTAATTTATTGATAATAATTATAACTGCAAGAGCAAATTAAAGAAAAGAAAGCAGAAATTATATCTCTGTACATGTATTTGTTTACATTTAATCCCATCTTAAGTAATTTATTGATAATACCTATTAAACATGCTAAACAAAGTCTTAACTTACAGAATCACTAGGGATGGGTGATTTTTGTGAGGAAATGGTCGGTGACTGGACTTGGGTCAGTTCTGCAAATAAATATTGACATTCTTAATATTGTTCCCAATATATTATAAAACTGAAGAGCAACAAGGAACACAAAAGTCTAGCCAATACCTGTAATCTTTATTCATAAGCACAGTTATTCTAGAAAATTAACAATTTGCATAATTTAGACCATTTCTTCAGGAAGGCACAGTTTCCAACATGACAAATTAACCATATTCATGGCTTTTAAGTTTTAACACAAAGGGGTCGTGTATTTTGAGGGAAAAGGTATCATGATATATCATAAACATGTACACTGCATGTATCTTTTCAAATATAATTATCAAGATTTTTTTCAAGCATTTCCGCTGACTGGTTTTTAGAGCCTTTGGATAAAGTTTCATCACTATCACAGTCTTATTAATACATCTAAATATTTTACCTCCAATTCTTGTTAAGCAATCCCCTTCGTTTTCATGTAATGGAGTTGAGTCTTTGAAATGTTCACCCATGTTTAACGTACTGCTGCCCCTTTTTTCCGCTGGACATAACCTTGTTGAGGAATCATTGACTATAGAGAGATGAGGAGAGCTTGCACAGTTACTGCTTATTTCACAATTTAACGAACTTGTTGAGGACACAATTGGAAAAAACTGAGAAACCTGGCTCATGAAATGCTGTTTATTTACAGCAGAATTATCTCCCCCTGCTGATAAAGCTGAAGACAGCTTCCCAGCAGGTGGCGCTTCAGTCACTCTTTGGCAGACGAGGTCATCATCAATAATATCCAGAGAGACATTTTCCTTTTCTGTAACACTAATACAGCTATTAAAGTCAGTTAATCCTTTACAAAACTTATCAAAGTTTGTTGATTCATCTTCTGTTTCTAGAAGCTGATAACCTTTCTTCACATGTCTAGACATTTCAATTTCTGACAGAAGAGTACCATTCTGTGACATATTCTCTATCATTGCACATTTATCTAGTGTCCCTTTTTCCTGATTAGGCCCTATAAGAAGGCTTTTTAACAGTGGGAGTGATTCCTTCTTCAGGGAGTATTTGCTGTCAGATAAACCTTCTTTGTGTGGGCTAGCACTAGCCACTGTGATCCCTGGGATTGTATCACTGCCACTTGGGCTCAGAGTGTCTATGCTGCTTTTTGATCCCAGCAGTTCATCAGAGATCCCGTCAGTGATGGCTGGGGAATGGCTAGCATCTGATGCTGTTGATAACATGTCAGTGTCACTGTTTTCCTCATTGAAGCTCTTCTCTTGAAGTGTCACACTTTTGGTTGCTGCTATTAAGGCTCTCACCCTCTTCCCCTGCTCCTCCAACAGGACCTGCCCCTCATCATCACTGAAATTATTAAAATTCATAAAATGCCACAGAACAGTATAGCAGATACTGGTGTACATAAATTGGCGTATTCAAAATTTAGCGCAATCAAGGGGTATAGAGTTGTTGGCGTAATCATAATGGTAATGAATTAACGCTACACGTATCAATGCCATGTTTTGTAAAAGTAAATGATTCCTTAGCAGCATTTATGAATTAGCACATTCTTTTCCGCGCCAAAGCTGCTATAATATGAAGCCAGCTTTTTTTAAGTACACATACAATAAATTGTAGAGAAGATGTGTTTTTATGCATAAATTATTCAAATATAGTCAAACTTCAGATTCAAGATATTCAAGGATTTATCATATTGCTAGATATCTGAGGATTAAAGATATTGGTGTTCACCTGCACATGTAGAGTGTTAGTGTCTTATGAACTGACCTAATATGCTGGTTTAAGCTGACGATGAAGAGATTTTTCTTGGTCCAGGCGTCCTTGACTATGACAGACCTGGCTTTGATATATTTCTCTGGACCACAGCCATTCACTGAGCTGACCCTGAACACTGTACACGGAATCTCATCATCTGTCATAACTGACAAACACACACACAAATTAGAAATGCAGACCTTGATGAACATGTATTTTGATTAATATGGCATTTCATAGATATATAAAACTCTAAACAATGACATCAAGACATTCTCTTGGTTTATTCCAAAGATTGGTCAAAAGAATAGATATATCATTCATATACTGTATGAGCAAAATATGAAGCACACATTTGAAATATTTGTTCAGACGACCTTATCATTAAAATCTCTTTAGATTACATAACTATGGTACTGAATAATTTAATATTTTAAATAAATGAAATAAAAATTTAAAAAAATATAGATCTACATGTAGAGCTTACTTTTCATGTGACTGCAGGCAATGTCCTTCAAATCATTCTTGTTGACAAGGTCATACACTGACATTCCAATGTGCTCATTTGGCATCACTCCCACTACCAAGGCAATTCTGTGTTATTAAAAAGATTATATTAAATAAAGTTAGTCGATGATTCAACTAATTATTGCACATTTATATCAAATAAATTCTTGAATTGCTATGGAGAAATACAACAACTGTGTGCAGGAAATCTTGCACCACAAAATTTACATTACAGGATCTGTACAGTAGTGTTATGGTCAAAGACTAAAAAATATATAAAGCCAAAATACTCTCAGCTATGAAAGTATTTACTACAAATATTTTTTTGAAAAGTGCTTGAAGACTAAGTGAACTAAACACAAAACAGGAATTGTGAGATTGTAGTCATAGTGAAGATCAAAGAAAAAACAATTTCACAGTAGAATAGCTGTCGCGAATATGTACGAGGGCTGTTCAAAAATTACGCGGACTTGTTGCACAGAAAAAATATTTGATGACATAATTGGGCAAAATGTCACACATAATATAAAAGAATCTTTACTTATATGGTCTTCAAAATTTCATATCAAAATGTTGTAAATTGGTATCAATTTTGAGTGATTTTTCAGGACATATCATTAAGTCACGGAGCAGCAAAATCTTCGACGTCCCAGGTATTATAATAAAATATGTGACTGAGCTTTCATTTTCTCAACATTTTTCCAAGAGTACCTGTACAGTTTGAGTTACCTTATTTTCTCAACATCCAAACACCATTTCTTGTCAAGCTTAAAATCTATTAAACAAGTAAAGAATATTTTTTATTATTCTGAGATAAAGTGTGATATTAGTGACTCTAAATCACGTTCTTTACAGTCTGGATACAGTTTTCGTCGATAATCTTCCTCCCGTCCTCCCGTATAGCCTTTTTACATAGGTCTCTAACGGTCTAAAATTTCAATTTGCTATTTGTGGACGAATTTCACGAATACCCTAGTTTACTACATGTTTTATTATGCATATTTTGGATCTATGTTGTCGATATCTCGAGCATTACACATAATTTAACAAAAGTGTGGTGCGCCGCCAATTCAGGAGACGTCATTTTCACAGTCGTTTTCACGGGAATCGCATCAGAGAAAAATCACTCTATTTCTCTTAGTACTTCAAATATCATGCCAGAAATCTAAATACATAAAAATAGAACAATTTAGATACACTTGAGAAAATTGTCGAAAAATATTGCAAATTATAGAAAATAAATGAGTTAAATTTTGGATTCCACATGCTTTTGCTTCAAATTTTTTGTCGTGCTCCGTACCTCTCCATCAGCTATATCAACATACCGATAATTTTAGTAGAATTTTTTTTAAATACAAAAATTTTGCCAAAAATTTGTTTGAATCTTTAAGATACATATTTCTGTGAATTTTCATAACTATACGACTTCTGTAAGAATAAATGATAGCACAGTCCGCGTAATTTTTGAACGGCCCTCATATTAGACAGAGTGCATGTATTTTAGTGTAAAGTTAAAAACATATATCTTAATCAATGTCTTTGAAACTGACTACATGTAATTGCAGTGTGATGGACAGACAGAGATGAAAAGACAGAAGACAGGAGATGAACATGATAAACACAATAGATACATTTAAAATTTGCAAACATAAAATTGATCATGAATGAGAGATTAGAGCACCTGTGATCCTGATACCAGAGCTTGCCATCCATTGCATGCTGGGATACCCACTCTGGATTGTCGTTATCCTCCAGAGCCTGCATATTGAGTAAGGCCTGGCGTGCCACTGGGAGACAAACACCTACCAGCCAACTCTCGTTTAAAACTTTAAAAAAAAATCAATATTTTTTTTTTCATTTTGACATTAATATTTTGAACATTGTATAATAAATTTTCTTAGCCTTAATGAACCAAAGTCTCAAGAAAAGAAAAATATTCTGACAGGCCAGGTTTATAAAACCCGACACAGGCATCCTTGTGTATATCAAGTTACTTATTTATATTTAAGGGAAGATAATTAAGGAAGAAGGGTCTGACTCATTAGAAAACTTAACATTAAGAGGAAAGTTAGAACCATTAGTTCTACAAAAAAATTTACATTTACACCATTAAAAGACTGAAAGATAAATTAATAATCCTTTCATAACCATAAACATTTGCAGATTTATAATGGAGCCCATACCTGATCTGTCCTTCTTCTTGTCATGTGTGTGAAAATAAACATGGCCATTGATTCTCATTTCCTCATACTTTGGTGTATTCCCTGATACATGATTCAAGTTCTGCATTCTCACAAAGAATGACCTCTTAACTTTTCTGGATGAGTGCACTGAAAAACAATAATTGAATGTGGAATAGTTTCAAATTTTCCAAAAAAAAAAAAATATTGTACAAAGTGGTTCGTACCAGTAAATGTAAAAGTCAAACTTATCTAATCCAACATGTTCTAGCTGGCAGAAAAATTTTGTGTCAGAGAAGACATAGTACTGTGTCAGATTGCTGAGTATAAAAAATATGGAAAATAGTACAAATTACAATTCATGTAATGCCTGTATGGGGGTCATAATAAAACAAATTACAATTCATGTAATGCCTGTACGGGGGTCATAATAATGGTTGGAATTCACAGTGAAACTGATTGTACAAGTGTTAGATTAGAAAGTTTTTTTCCTGTGCATGTCTTTATCTAAGTCAGCACCATTACCGCAGTCTTCACTCCTCAAATTATTTGAAAACAGTTCATTTTTTCATGTAGGACCAACTATAAGCTCTTTTCAGGTACCTAAACCCTTGCAAAAGTCTGTGTCACATTATTTTACAATACCTGATACATGTAAAGTCAATATACTAATTATACTTAAAATAGATGTAACTCCTCTGTACCTGGAATATAGGTTTTGTTGTCCTCATTGTTTTGTTCTGTGGTATAATGGAAATTGCTGTCCTGATTAAACTGTAATTTAAACAGTTCCACATCATCCTTGTGTAATATCTTGTTAATTGGGCTTCCCAACACATCCACCTGAAACAGTTGCTTCAAAATCATTGACCAGACAACACCATGTATTAATGATAGAAATTTCTTTCCATCTAATGTAAATTGGTAATATTAATTAAGAAGTAACTGGGTTTATTGGTTTTGAATTTAAATATGATACACTTAGACTAGCATTATTTATAAATTGGGTTACCTACACATCCTAAAAAATAAGATTTGAAAGTCTCATACAGATGAAAAGAATAAATGTTTTATTGTGTAAATTGTAGTGTTATATTGTAACTGCATGTAATTCAAATCACGTGCACATAGGTGTTGGAAGTGGGTCACTCAGGGTATAGAGAGGGGGCTTACCCCCCCCCCCTGCCCTTCCAATAATAAAGCCATTGGAAAATGAGGTTTAGTTCCCAAATATTTTTTTTTTTGGTTGCTTAAACCCCCCCCCCCAAAAAAAAAAAAAAAATTAGCCCACAACTTTCAATTTGCTTCTGACCCCTATGTACTGTTACTATTATTTATTGATTAGGACTCAATCAGTATAACTCAGCATGCCTAATTGATACCAAAATTAATTAGAATTCCTTTTACCAGGTTTGGGGGAAACGTAAATACCGCTATAATAGTGATATATCACTATTCTAGTGAAATTCCGCTATATTTTCAGCCGTATTTACCCTCAATATCATCAAATAACATGCTTGCTGTTGAAAGCGCAATTCATAATGGGTATAAAAATGGACAATAATTGGCATCCTTACATATTATGAATTTTATTTAATTTTCTGCCAATGCGTTTAATAATGCGAACACACTTTGTAAAACGGAAGTTACATTTTTAACCTAGCAACCAGCGATTGTGGCAGTATTCAAAAAAGACTGAATTCCAATTTTTCTCACACATGTGCAGAAAATAATGCTTGTAATAATTTTCAATCTGCATTGAAGGAGGTTTGTCGAATTTACAATAGAAAAGACAATCTTGATCTGCATGGTTACAGGTATGGAGGCCCGTTGTGACAAATGCTAAAAGCCCATTTCATGTAAACTTTATTTTGGTAGAACCGATATGTCTCGTCTAAATGCAATAAATCGTAAACAATCTATACGCTGACACTTCTTCAGGTTATATATATCCATATTCAGGGGTTTCTACCCCCCACCCCCCACCACACATCTTTTTCAAACAATAATTACCATTTACTGTTGAAAATGTTCAATGAATAGCTGGATGCCCCCTCCCCAATTTTTTTGTTGTAGCATATAGTTCAATAATGGTAAGTTGGTAATGTATGATAAAGTATTCATTTTGGTTGTGAAACGAAGTTGGAACCTAACACCCAGCCCCCCCCCCCAATAGGATTTTCTGTATTTAAAATTCCTTCCAATTTCCAACGTTTTTTAACCCTTTGTGTGCTGACTTGTTTTACGCGAGCTGTAACCTCAGGACTGAGTTGTTTTGTAATATCAACAAAATTATCACAATGGTGTACTAAAATGCAAATATCTAAAATTGTTGACAACCAATTTGCTTGAAATTTGGCAAATATTTAGCAAATGTTGTGTTTTATTAATTGATAATTTTTTTTTTTAAATCTGATATTTTATGTTGCCATGGAAACCAAATTTTCAAAAAAAATATATTTTAAAATGATTTTGTAGCTTTTTAACTATATTTTTCAAAGAAAATATTGCACTTTGATGAAAAAAATAAACCAATTGCTTTAAAATTCAATTTTAGATTTAATATTATGTAAAAAAAAATTTTAATTTAAACAATAACTCAATGATAAAGTCAATGTTTTATATACCGTTATGTTGTGAAAAGTCATTGTATACTTATCTGAGTAAGAGATATATTCATGTAGGTTTAAGTGAATTCTGATTTAAGTTAATGGATTTTTTTCAGATTTTAACTAAAAAGAGTATAAATTGAAGATTCAATTAGCCTGTAAATATAAAACCAGAGATTATTTTAAGAAATATTGGCAAATTATATAAGAAAGTATGATCATCAAAGAATATGCAATTTTCGAGGTCAGGAAATCCTAGAGCAAATTGGCACAACAATGAACTAATTGCTGTTACTAGTATTCATTTTCAAATTAAAGCAGTCAATATGTTAAATAAATAAAAAAAATTAAAATAACATTAATTACACAAGTTATTGAGGTCTTATTTTCTAATGACTGGCCATCTAACAGCCCTAAATCTACTCTAGTAATTCTCAAATCACTTTAAGTTTTTTTTATTGTGCTTTTATTGAAGAATATGCGATTCTCCGTGTTATCTGTATTGTAAACATATTCATAAACTTTCCTCCCACAATACTTCTCACTCTGTAAGAAATGTGGCATTTATTTTAGAAGTTTTATTCCTAGCTGGCAACAATAATTGCCGGCAGGAAAACTAGAATTTTAAATTTTAGAAATTTAAGCACCATTAACAGTCATTTATAATGGTTTTCAAAATTTACTTCATTGTGGTAACTGGTGAAATCAGTTTTGATTTTTTTTTCAATTGATTTTAGTTAATGATGGTTGACAGATATGTAATATCAATCAATGTATTATGAAATACTTTTAAGTTTATGCAAGTGTAATGGTATGGTTGTAGGCCTATAGTAAGCTCAGTCAGTAATTAAAAGCATCTGACCAGTGATGCAGGGGTCCCTTCTTCAATTCACGGTCCAGTTGTGCATTGTCTCCTTCCTTGTTACATATTTGATGCTATTGACCCCTCTGGATTTGCAAGTGAAAGTCCTGTCAGGGACTTAGAATTCGATTTGTGTCTGCAAGGATGAAGATAATTTTAAGGAAGGATATGTAATGGTTGTGCTATGGGTGTCAACCTGGGTAGCTCATTCAATAGAGCACCTGACTAGTGAAGCAGGGTTCCTGGGTTCAATTCCTGGTCCAACCACACATTTTCTCCTTTCCTGTTACACAAGTTTTGAATGTGCCTGAATTTTTACTTCAACATAAAATATTATTCTTAATGATGAAATACATTTTATTTCCACCATGGGATTTCTTTGTATTCTTAGTAACTATTCACATTTTCATATTTAAAAATAAACATATCTTTGGAGACCAAAAAGTAATCTTTGTTGATAAATAACTTTATAGGAATTTGCATTTTTGCAAAATTTTCCTGACCATCATTAGAAAAAATTATCGCAGTAAATCTGAGCTTTTTTACTGTATTCATTCAGGCATATATGATTATCTCTTATATCAAATGTTCCTATCTTACATATCTAGAAGGGATGGAATGTAGAAGCATCTTGGGCCTTATAAACTTGTAAACTAGAGGACATATTACATATTAATAGGTAAAAACATGTACAGTGTGTACTTTTGAGTTTAAGAGGTGAAGTACAATTTCTATCACCCAGTCTTTATTGTAATTTATTGAACAGATGTACATGCAAGTCCATACAATTCACAAATTACTCATTCTAAAGACTCTGATCTTCTTCTTATGCCTAAAAAAAATGACTATTCATCTTATGCCCTGTTCACACGACAAGTTTAATTCGCAGTAAATTAATGCGAAGTAAACTAATGCGAATCAAATTAATGCGAATTAAATTGCGTTCACACGACAGCTAATGCGAAGTAAACTAATGCAAATAAAAATTTTACTTCTACAGTCAGGCATAAGTAAGTCTATTATGACGTCATTTGTAAATCACATCATGTATGCAGAGCCATCCATTTGATTCATCATGTAGTGGCTACAGGTATTCATTGATTTTAGTGATTAACATACTTTGCCTCAATTTTTGAACCAAATATAGCACAAATACCTATATCTAACCACCAACACGTGTCCTGTGACTAAATTTTGGCTTTACGCATGCGTCAAAATTTAATTCGAATTAGCTTCGCTTAGCGTTAACACAGAGCTAATGCGAAGTAATTTAATGTGCAGTAACCTAATTCGAATTAAACTAATTTGCATTAAATTTTCCGTGTGAACGCTAAGCGAAGCAAATTCGCATTAACTTTATGTTCAATTCAAATTAAACTCTCTGTGTGAACAGGGCATTAATTTTAAACTGTAGAGTTACCATTTATTTAACCAGTGAATTTTATAATTTTGAGTGTGCATGTATAGGTTGGGGCAGTCTCACTGTTTTTGGTTTTGATAAAATAGAAATAAAAAGTAGGGGAAATGTACAATTTAATCCACATGCATGCTTCATTCAAGCAAAAGTCTATTTTAAAGAAAAAGAAAATGTCTGATACATAAACTTATACTTGATTTAGAAAAAAAAAATTCTGATACACGTACCAATTATTTTCACTTAGTAATTAGGTTCCATGCAAAATAGAGTATGTAAAAGCCTTGAAGAAATCTAACTCTAAGATACCAAAGATCCCGGAACATATTTTGGTTTTGAAATTATTGAGAGTCTATATTATAATGATTAATCCTCATCAAGGAAATAAAAATGGTATTTTTATTACTTACTGAAATAAAACAAATACCACAGTTTAAACAAATGACAGTCATTTCAGGGAAAATCAGCACTTCAAAAATTTTTCATTACTTTTTACCATTTTCATGTATATGCACATGTTTGAATGCATCTTTTCTGAAACATTATGTTTTTTTGTTCTTCTCAATACCATCTGGATTTTTTAAAGTAAACTTCACTTTTAGTGTAGAGAACTAGTTTACATTTGAAGACACTAGAAAATATCAAGTTTAATTATTTTTTCAATTTTAAATAAAAATTTTATAATATATCATATATACTGTTATAAAAAAATATTTGAAAGTTTTCCCAAATAGATGGGAAAAAAGCAGCTTTAAACCAGAAATTTAAGGTGTAATTAGGACCACTTAATTGACTCTTTTAAATTCATATTGTATACTGTATATTTCGAATACCTTCCTGCATCATGAATTAATTTTGCTTCATCACAAAATATGTTGATGGATATATATTCTCTATATATCTCTTTTGCACTTCCTTATTAATGCAATCACTCATCGGAAAATTTTTTGCTACAGTGTTCAAGGCCCTCCACATTTATTTTTTTTTATTAGGTGAAACCTTTTTTTATCTTTCAACATTTTTTAAATGGGTCTTTAGATTAAAAAAAAATATTTGTTTATTCATTGTTAAAAAAAAAAAAATACTCTTAATTGACAAGATGTTTCAATTTTTTTTTTTTTTTTTTTTTTTTTGCAAACCTTTATTTCAAAGCAAAGCAGAAAAACGTCTGTGACTTGCCAGGTTCAATCTCGTGCATTATTGTTTTCATTTAGACGATGTAATGTATGTCTACTTACAAAACCCCAAATAAACAAATAATAACCACATTATGCCCAAAATATAAAACTTTACCGACCATATAAGCTCTCGATATGCTTCAGACTGAAATTCTGTAGCATGTGCACCCTACTTTCGTTTTAACAGGAAGAACTTCGCAAGGTTAAGGTCAAGTCAAGTTAACCAAAGTTTTTCTGCTAAAATGTCGACAATTTCTGTGTAATTTTATGTCTACTAGCTCAAATTTATTAGAATTATTGATATTTAACTATTCTGGGGATTTATTTCTTTATTTTTCATTATGTTAGAGCTAGTTAGTAGATATTTATTACATGCGCGTTTTTTCCCTGTTTCCAAAAATAGCGGACTGACTTTCATCGTAACAAACGCCAACACCTTCACTTGAAATCACAATTTCAAAAATAATTCGCATATTTTCACATCTTAATTACCTATTTTTCAATGTATTATGGTTTTATAATGCATATTGATAGATTCTTAGTAATTCACAACTCATTTATACGTTTTATACAACGTTTTATGTTACGAAGCGCTAATTCCACACTCAGACCCAATAATTATATTGGGTTCCCGCACGGTAGCGTTTGTGACGTCAGACCCAATATATTGGGTTCCCGCACACAAAGGGTTAAAGTCTTTTTTTCTGTTTTCTGGCTACTAACTAACCCCACCCCCCCAAACACACACACACTACGTATATGTAATGGTTTATTCATGGGTTGCATTTTTATCCAACTAAAATTACACAAAATATAGCTGTAATTAAAAAAACATGTTTGGATTAGTGGCAAAGGACACTACGGATTATGACACAATGCCTTATATTTGGATATTATATTGTAGAAAGAGATCGATAGCAAACCATTTACTAAACGTTATGGTAAACCTGATGACTTCACTTTTTCTACCGTCAACTTCCTTTATTTACATGTATGTATGAATTACCATTCCTACCTGCATATGGATTTATAAACACCTCACGGTTGATTCAGTGCGCATGGACATTTTCTTTGTACGACAATATGTAAAACGAAACAGGATTCTGACAAACAAGTTGATGAATTATTTAAAAGGGTCTACCATCTTGCATGAAGTCAACACCCTGCAAATTTCATAGTCAATCCTCTGACCTCATGTGCAAACACAATCTGTTGTATATTGAATGCATGTTGACTGACGTATTTATTACAAATTGTTAAGCCATTATTTTAATACTAAATTGACTTCGAATATTTCCGTTTATACGATCATGACAAAGAGCAAAAGGCAGTGTGACCGGTCGACAGGGGATGCTTACTTACGCATGGCTTCTGATTTCAAAGGTTCGTGTTTGATGTGCTCAAAATTTATATTATTTCAATGTCCTTTTGAGCTTAATTACTGCCTTTTTCTTCGTATGTCATTGTTAGAGCTAGATCGTACAAAATCTATACTGTAAGATGTCACTTCCACATGTACAGGTAATCCCATGCAAGAATAATTCGAGTGTCTTTCCGGAATAAAATAATCGTTTGAACTTGTCATTTTACCATAAAAAGAAAAGTATAACACTTGTGATAACCTGAAGAAGTATCAGCGTATAGATTGTTTACGATTTATTGCATTTAGACGAGACATATCGGTTCTACCAAAATAAAGTTTACATGAAATGGGCTTTTAGCATTTGTCACAACGGGCCTCCATACCTGTAACCATGCAGATCAAGATTGTCTTTTCTATTGTACATTCGACAAACCTCCTTCAATGCAGATTGAAAATTATTACAATTAAGCATTAATTTCTGCACATGTGTGAGAAAAATTGGAATTCAGTCTTTTTTGAATACTGCCACAATCGCTGGTTGCTATGTTAAAAATGTAACTTCCGTTTTACAAAGTGTGTTCGCATTATTAAACGCATCAGCAGAAAATTAAATAAAATTCATAATATGTAAGGGTGCCAATTATTGTCCATTTTTATACCCATCTTGAATTGCCCTTTAAACAGCAAGCATGTTATTTGATGATATTGAGGGTAAATACGGCTGAAAATATAGCGGAATTTCACTATAATAGTGATATACCACTATTATAGCGGAATTTACGTTTCCCCCCAACCTGTTTACTTGAACTCTTTGGTAAATGCACATTTTCAATACTGACTGACTTTAATAACTGCTCCATACCACTCAGCTATTAAATTATTGACCTCTTGAAAAATGTCACATAAAATTTCCTTACAAAGGCAATCTAGCAGGAAATCATGTTTTTTTTATTCTTTAATTGCACATATCTTCCTTCACATCCAAACAAGACTTCTGAAAACTTTAATTAAATGAACTTCATCATTAAATCATCTTCTAAAAGATAAAAAAACCCTATGGAACCAGGTGCATCCAGAGTAGATTAGTTTTACTATATATTTTTAGTAAACAACAGTCATTTAATTATCCTCTAATTTTTTTTATTAACAAGAGATGTTTGTAAAACACTTATGCCCCCCTCCCCCCAAATTTGAATTTTTCCAAGTCAAAAAGGGCAAAAATGGCGCAACTGTACCAAAAACAGAATTTGATCTAAATATTAAAATTCATCTGATAAATCTGTACACAAAATTTCATTTCAGTATGTGCAACGGTTGCCTAGAAAATATACGGAAACTGCAAATAACTGGAATTTTTCTAAGTCTAAGGGGTATAACTCTGTCAAAAATGGTGCAATCACACACAAAACAGATCTTGACCTAGATATTTATCTGATAAATCTGTACATTAAATTTCATTTCAGTATATGCAACAGTTGCCAAGAAAATGAATGGAGACTGCAAATAATTGAAATTTTTCTAAGTCCAAGGAGCATAACTCTGTCAAAAATAGTGCGATCGTACCCAAAACAGAACTTGATCTAGATATGCATCTGATATACCGGTATCTGTATACCAAATTTCATTTTAGTATGTGCAACGGTTGCCAAGAAAATGAACGGAAACTGCAAATAATTGGAATTTTTCTAAGTCCAAGGGGCATAACTCTGTCAAAAATGGTGCGATCGTATCCAAAACAAAACTTGACCTAGATATGCATCTGATATATCTGTATACCAAATTTCATTTCAGTATGTGCAACGGTTGTGAAGAAAATGAACGGATACTAAGTGGACCAACAGACCGACAGACAACAGCAAAGCAATATGCCATCCCTTCTTCGAAGGGGGGCATAATTATCATGTTTTCATTACCTGGAGCCAGCCAAGTTGTTGTGTGAGAGATTCGGACATGTACAGTATAGTCCCACATTCTGACACAATAAGCAAGGATCCATGAGCAACCTAAAATTACAGAGCCAAAAAAGTTGTGTAATATATACCAGTACATGTACATGAATTAAAAAAAATCTTAACACCCCTTTACCCATTTTAAAAGGTTAAATCATGTTTCACAACGTAAATCATAATTTATGGTAACTTTTTCTAGGTATTTTTGTTACATGACTCTATTATCATCAATATACATGATGTACTCCCAAAAATTTTAGCCTGATATTTTTACCATTACATTAATGTCAAAACAAAATTATTTTGTTTTGCTACCAACCAGCTAAATTAGGGCCAGCAGACCCATAAACTGTGACAGTCAATGATTAACCAAAACTTAGCATGTATCTTTATAATTACCGATTCCAAGAACTCTTCAGTTACTGAATCTTTCAAGAAAGATGGCAGAACACAATTCAAGTTTCTCTTCTTTAAACCTACAAGAGAAAGTAACCTAATTCAATTATCATTTTTACAATAAATTTATAAAAAAAAAAAAACTTTCTAATCTTCTTCTCTCCTCACAATCCCTTGGCCTTTGATGATGTTAAAAGTCAGGATTTTTTTTTTCTTGAATTGTGATTGAAGTTACTTAAATTGATATTTTTCAACAGCAAATGCTTTTGTAAATCATGTAAATGACAATATACAGTAAAACTCGGTTATAGCGAAGTCCATGGGGTCTATGAATTAAATTTGCTGTATCCGTAATTCGTTATATCCGTATAACGAATTCGTTTAACCATTATAGCGAATTCGCAATATGCATGTTTTCCTTCAGGTATTACTACCAAATATGTTAGGGAAGCAAATATTACAAAACATGTCTTCGATAACTAAGGTTTTATTATGAATTGAATTTCATATGCAAATGCTAATAGGAAATAAAGTCGGTTCAATTTATCAATTTTTTTTATAATCTCGGAAAGTTCGTTATAAAAGATGTAAATTTCATTATATTTAACCTCAACGGGACTCAAAGTTAGTTTGCTATATCCGTAAATTCGTTATATCAGAGTTCGTTATAACCGTAAAATTTTACAAAGATTTGTCAAGAATTTTGCCGGGGACCCAGAAAAACTTTGCTATATCCGTGAATTCGCTATATCCGTGTTCGTACTAAACGAGTTTTACTGTATTTCCATTCAGGATTTTCCAATACTTTTTGCATGCACAGCTGTATCGAGACGGTCCCTATCGAGACACTTTAGACAGGAATCAATAATGCAAGAAACAATATTGGTATATCTCTGAAAATAATTTGCCATTCTAGAAATAGATTCAGTATCATAGCTTTTTACTTGCTTGTTAATTATTCTTAAAATAATTTGATAAAATATGCTCCATTTGAAATATTGTCAACATGAGATCATCTTACCAATATTAAGTTTGAGGTAGTTAACAGTCAGCTTCAGAATGCTGCTCTTGTCCGGCCTTCTCTCACACTGCTTCAGCCATGGCACCTCCTCTGCCAGCAAGCTCAGCGTGTGATTCAGCCGCTCCCTCCGAAGTTTTTCACCCTCTCTACGAAGTTTTCTGTCGTCAGGATAAAATAAGTTATATAACGTGAAGAACCCGAGCATTACTGTGAGAATGAGGACAAGCTTCTTGGTCAAGAAAGTATTTTGCAAATTAGGGAGGGGGAACCCCGAGATGCCTACTCTAGACAAATTTTTTGTGAAGTAAACAACTAAACATACTGTAAAATCACATTTTCATGGGGTCAAATTTTCGTGGTTTGAGGAAAATTTCTTGGTTCATGGGGATTTGATTTTGTGGATAAGAATTGATTATTTATGTAGGTAACATTTTACATTTTGAATTCATGGATCTCACTTTATGCTTTGCAATCAACACGAATTACCACCAACACCCCCCAACACCCCAAACAAAAATTTGTGATTTCATATTATATAAAAACCTAATCATCCTAAACTTGGTAATAATGGTAATCTAACATATGTTTTCCTTTAAAATAAGAACTTACTTTTTGGTCTCTAAAAACTTCTCTTCTCCGGTGACAGATTCTTTTCTTTTTATGCTGAAAGCAGAAGGGAAATAATGTCTGATCATGTTAAATCTCAAAATGCTCATGATACAGCTTTGTAAATATACTGTATACAGGGTTATTTTTGCCCTGCTTTATTTTCACCCTTTCAATTTTGCAAACAATTTTGCCCCGTCTTACATTCGCCCAGTTACACTTTTATTTATGAAATTATACTGTATTTTTTAAAATTCGCCCGTTTTAAATTCGCCAAACCAAGGCTAGGGCGAAAGGGGCGAAAATAAAATGGGGGCGAAAATTTCCCTGTATACAGTATATTATAGGAAAAAGTTGATCATATGTCAATAGATGTGACTGCTTTGTTTACCATACAAAAATATATATGCATGTGCAGCACGGGCAAATATGAATCAAAATATTAAATAATTTTCAAAATATAATTTTATCACAATATAATTACATACTACAAATTACAACTGACAGACTTAAATCGACAAAATCATTCCGGACACACAGAGGATAAATTAAGATTAAACAAGAGGCCCATGGGCCACAGCGCTCACCGGAGTACATCAGCTAGGAAAAAACACATATCAGATCAGAACTGAAAGTTAATTTAAGTTGGGGGGGGGGGTTGAATTTTAACCCCCAAGGGGATCATAATTTGAACGAACTAGAATCTATATTACCTGAGGATGATTCCATACAAATATTACTAATCCTGGCTTTGAAGTACTTGAAAAGAAGATTTAAAAAGGTTTCCCTATATATTTCTATGTAAAACTTTGGTCGGCCATTTTGGCCACACCCTTACCCCGGGGTCATGACTTGAACAAACTTGAATCTACACTACCTGAGGATAATTTCACATGAGTTTCATCTTTCCTGTTTCAATGGTTCTTGAGAAGAAGATTTTTTAAGATTTTTCCTATATATTCCTATGTTAAACTTTGATCGGCCATTTTGGCCCCGCCCTACCCCCGGGGGTCATGACTTGAACAAACTTGAATCTACACTACCTGAGGATAATTTCACAGAAGTTTCATCTTTCCTGTTTCAATGGTTCTTGCGGAGAAGATTTTTAAAGATTTTCCTATATATTCCTATGTAAAACTTTGATCGGCCATTTTGGCCCCGCCCTACCCCCGGGGGTCATGACTTGAACAAACTTGAATCTACACTACCTGAAGATGATTCCACATGAGTTTCATCTTTCCTGGCCCAGTGGTTCTTGAGAAGAAGATTTTTAAAGATTTTTCCTATATATTCCTATGTAAAACTTTGATCGGCCATTTTGGCCCCTCCCTACCCCCAGGGGTCATGACTTGAACAAACTTGAATCTACTCTACCTGAGGATGATTCCACATGAGTTTCATCTTTCCTGGCCCAGTGGTTCTTGAGGAGAAGATTTTTTAACAAGAGGCCCATAGGCCACATCGCTCACCTGAGAAGCTTTGACCATTCTGTTCTTTACTAGATTTCCCCCTTGTAATACATATTGTGACCCCACCCTACTCCACTGATCATAATTTGGACAATTTGAAATCTACACTACCCCTGGATGCTTCCACATAAGTTTCAGCTTTTATGGCCCTGTGGTTCTTGAGAAGAAGATTTTCAAAGATTTTTCCTATATATTTCTATGTAATACTTTGATTTCCCATTGTGGCCCCGCCCTACCCCCAGGGGTCATGATTGGATTAATTTAGAATCTACACTACCTGTGGATGCTTTCACATAAGTTTCAGCTTTTCTGGCACAGTGGTTCTTGAGAAGAAGATTTTTAAAGATATTTCCTTTATATTACTTTGTAAAACTTTGATTCTCCATTGTGGCCCCGCCCAATCACCCGGGGTCAGGATTAGAACAATTTAAAATCTACACTACCCCAGCATGCTTCCATATAAGTTTCAGCTTTTCTGGCCAAGTGGTTCTTAAGAAGATTTTCAAAGATTGTCCAATATATTTCTATGTAAAACTTTGATTATCCATTGTGGCCCCGCCCTAACCCCCCGGGGTCATGATTTGAACAATTTAGAATCTACACTACCCCAGGATGCTTCCACATTAGTTTCAGCTTTTCTGGCCCAGTGGTTCTTGAGAATAAAATTTTTCAAAGATTTCTCCTAAATATTTCTATGTAAATTTTTGATTACCCATTGTGGCCCACCCTACCCTTGGGGGTCATGATTAGAACAATTTAGAATCTACACTACCCCAGGATGCTTCTACATAAGTTTCAGCTTTTCTGGCCCAGTGGTTCTTGAGAAGAAGATTTTCAAAGATTTTTCTATATATATTTATGTAAAACTTTAATTCCCCATTGTGGCCCTGCCCTACCCCAGGGGGTCATGATTTGAACAATTTAGAATCTACACTACCCAAGGAAGCTTCCACATAAGTTTCAGCTTTTCTGGCCAAGTGGTTATTAAGAACAAGATTTTCAAAGATTTTTCCTATATTTTTCTATGTAAAACTTTGATTCCCCATTGTGGCCCCGCCCTTCCCCCGGGGGTCATGATTTGAACAATTCAGAATCTACACTACCCAAGAATGCTTTCACATAAGTTTCAGCTTTTCTGGCCCAGTGATTATTAAGAAGAAGATTTTCAAAGATTTTTCCTATATATTTCTTTGTAAAACTTTGATTCCCCATTGTGGCCCCGCCCTATCCCCCGGGGTCATGATTTTAACAATTTAGAATCTACACTACCTGAGGATGATTCCACATAAGTTTCAGCTTTTCTGGCCCAGTGGTTCTTGAGAAGAAGATTTTTAAATATTTTTCCTATATATTGCTATGTAAAACTTTGATTATCCATTGTGGCCCTCCCTATCCCTGGGGGTCATGATTTTTACAATTTAGAATCTACAGTACCTCAGGATGCTTTCACATAAGTTTCAGCTTTTCTGGCCCAGTGGTTCTTGAGAAAAAGATTTTTTAATGACCCCACCCTATTTTTGTCTTTTCTTGATTATCTCCCCTTGTGAAGGGATTTGGCCCTTTATTTTAACAATTTAAATTTCCCTTTACCCAAGG